ACCTATTTGACTACATATGAGGGAAGAGACCATAGAAAAGCTCAATAGCGGCAGCTAAAACCAGGCCAGGAGCCAACTGTCGAACTGACCACCAATTGCTCTTTAGTAAGTTCATGTTGAAGCTGAAGAAAATTCAAAAAAGTCCAAGAGAACCAAAATATGACTTTGAGTATATGCTATCTGAATTTCAAGAACATGTCAAGAGAAGATTTGATGCATAAAACACTGACAAAAGACCGATTCACTACAGGATGACATCAAGAACATAATACACAAAGAAAGCAATCGGTCATTAAAAGACCAGGAAGAAAGAAAAGCTCAAAGTCGATGTCAGATGACACTCTTAAACTTGTTCATAATTGTATAGTCGCCAAAGCAAATGGAAGAAATGATGAAGACAAAAAACTGAACAGACATTTCAAAGGGCAGCTTGAGAAAACAAAGTAAAATACTATAATGATGTTCAAAGACCTAGAGTTAGAAAATCAAAATGATGGAATTTGAGAAATGTTGCCTCAAGTTGCAACATTGAAAGATTCTATAGGCAAAATAATGAATCATGCAGGAACCATCAAAAGAAGACGAAAGAATCCACAGTCACTGTACCAATAGAACTAGTCAATCTGCCACCATTTCAAGATGTAGCACATGAGCAAGAAACAATGGTCCTGAAGGAAGAAGTCCAACTTGTACTGAGAGCATTAGTCAAAAGCAAAGCTTCAGGAACTCATGGAAATACCAATTGAAATGTTTCAACAAGCTAATGAAGCACTGGGAACACTCACTCATCTATGCAAGGTAGTTTGGGAGACAGCTACCTGGCCAACTGACTGGATGAAATCCATATGTATACCTATTCCAAAGAAAGGTGACCCAATAAAATGTTCAGATTATAGAACAATGTCGTTGATGCATGCAAGTAAACGTTTGTTGAAGATTATCCAACAATGGTTGGAGCAATCCATTGCCAGAGGTTAAGGCTGGATTCAGAAGAGGACATAGAACAAGGAATATCGTTGCTGATATCAGCTACATCTTGGCTGAAAGTAGAGATTTTTAGAAATATAAGAGGGTATCCCCAAAAAGTGCTTTTTTTTTTTCTTCCAAAACTATTGAATTTTTGTTTTACAAAAGAACCTTCTCACACTCTCCAATACACTTACTACATATGTCAAATCTGCAGTTCCATTCTTGGAAACATTTTTCAAATTCATCTGTTTGGATGGCTGACAGCACCTCCCTCATTTTTTTCTTCACCTCTTCTATGTCATTGTCAAATTTACTGTCCTTTCATTTCCTTCTGCATTCGTGGAAACAAAAAGAAATCACACAGCAGTCAGGTGACTAAGCTGTGTGGGGTTAGAGAGGCATGCTGTTTTTTGTGCCAGAAACTAGCTCACTGAGATGGCTGCATGAGCAGGTGCATTACCATGGTGGCAAAACCAGTTCCCCATCTGCCACAAATCAGGCCTTTTTTGTTACACAATCTTTTCAGAACCTCTACATAAAAAGCTTGATTAACAGTCTGACCTGGTAGAACAAACTCCAAATGCACTCACTATAAGTCGACAATTTCAGACATTTGGAAAATTGATGGACATCTAGAATGAAGTTTGTCATCCTTTGACATTTCACCTTTTTTGAAATGTGAAAGCCACTTGTATACATGCGTTTTTTTCCTTAGCACTGCCCTTGTAAACTGTGTCCAACATCATAACAGTTTCTGCAGCATTTTTCCTGAGCAGGAAACAAAGTTTCACAGCTGCACACCATTTTCTTAAATCAGCCATCACAAAAAATGAGGTTGGAGTGAAACTGCTTTTACAAAAAAAATTAACTGACCAGAAAGGATCTTCCCAGGTGATGCCACTGGGTGCACTTGATGCTCACCTAGAGGGAAAAATCCATACTATGAAAGCTCTGCCTAGCAGAGGTTTTTATCCATTTTTTTTCTTTTGGTACTCCCTAGTATACTTTTAGTTCATTGATTATTCAAAGGCATTGATTGTATGGATCATAACAAAATATGGGTAGCTCTGAGAAGGATAGGAATTCCAGAACACTTAATTTTGCTCATGTAGAACCTGTACATGGATCAAGAAACAGTTGTGCCCAAACATAACAAGTGGATATCAGAAAAGATGCTGAAACTTGCTCCTAATTGTAGAGTGGTTAAGGCAAATAGGAGAAATGATGAAGTAAAAGAGCTGAACAGAACACACTGTATGGTTTAAAATCAGGAAAAGTGTGTGATGGGGTTGTGTCCTCTCACCATATGTATTCATTCTATATGCTGAGCAAATAATCAGAGAAACTGTTACATGAAGAATGGGGCATCAAGATTGGATGAAGGCTTATTAACGATCTTTGATAAGCTGGTGACATGAAGCACTTCATGATGAGTATTATGGACTACAGTCTTCAGTGTGGATTAAAATTCAATCTAAAGAAAACCAAAATCCTCACAACTGGACGAAGAGTTAACATCGTGATTAAGAAAGAAAAGATTGAAAGTTGTCAAAGATTTTATCTTGCTTCAGTCCACATTCAATTAAACAGCAGTTGAGATCAAAGGAAGACGCAGTACATTGGGTAAATCTGCACAAGACCACTTTAACGTGCTGATAAGCAAAGAAGTTACTTTGAGGACTAAGGTGTGCCTGACCCAGGCCATGGTATTTTCAGTCACACATGTGCGTGAAAGTTGGACATTGAATAAACGGGCTGCCCAAAGAACAAATAGATGTGTCTTGGAGAAAGTACAGCCAGGTTGCTCCTTTGAGTCAAGGATGGAAAGACTTCATCTCACATACTTTGGACATGTCATCAGGGAGACCAGTCCCTGGAGAAGGCCATCATGCTTGGTAAAGTGAAAAAGCGGAAGACCTTCAACAAAATGAATTGACACAGTGGCTGTAACAATGGGCTTAGACACAGGAACAGTTAGGTGGTTGGCGCAGGACCAGGCCATGTTTCATTCTGTTGTGCCTTGGTTTGCTATGAGTCAGAATTGATTCATTGGCACCTAACAACAATGGCTAGTCACTGGAAACATTTCTTTGAGTGTTTTGTCTACTGCCCCGATGTTTTTCTTTGATGAAGTGTCTATGTCATTTACCCATTAGGCGTTTTATTTTTTTCTGCTTACTGTATTGTTAGGTGTTATCAAGACTTTTCCAATTCATACCAACCCCATTCATCATTTTCATTGAATGCTAATGTCTTTTTTTTAAATGCTATTGTCTTTGATCTTTATCGGTAAATGAATAAAATCCTTTTCAATTTAAGCAAGTAAAGTTGTGTTACATGGGTAGCACAGACTGTTAATGAGTCTTCCTCCAATCCTAATGCTGCATTCTTCTTCATATACTTCAGTTTATTGGATTATTTGGTCAGCGTGCATTGAACAAAAATGGTTGAAAGATGCATTCTGATGTACACTTTTCCTGATTTACAGGTTCCATATTAAGTGTTCTAGAATTTCCATTGTTTACAATTTTATCCATAATTTGTTATGATCCACATATATCTTTTGTATTATCAATACAATGTAGGTAAGCATCTTTCTGCCTGTACATCCGTAAAGCAGTTATGTGGTTCAGTGACCACCTCTGCTTAGGTGCTAACTGAAAGGTCAGTTATTCAAACTCACCAGTTGCTCTTTACGAGAAAAGGTGTAATCTTTTCTAACAGGTACAGCCTTGGAAGACTGATGAGGCTGCTCTACTCAAACCTATAGAGTTGTTAGGAGTCAGGATCAGCTTAACACCAATGGGTATTTTCATTTATAGATCTCAGGAACTAGGAGAAAGGTACTTCTATAAAGATTTACAGTTTGAAACACACAGGGACAGTTCTACTCTTATCTTGTGGGATGTTAGATTTCAGGAGTGCTTACCTCCGTTCTTTGCTTCACATGCTGAAATAATTCACACAGCAGAAGCACTTTTGTAATCCAAGTGAGTTTTTATGGAGGAAAGGGAAGTTTCAGGTATTACAGTTTGAAAAGGTACACACTATTTCAGGAAAGTTTGCTGGGCCACGCAGAAGCTGGGGTTCGCAACTGGGAGCGGAAAAGCCACCTAGAAAGAATACAGGAATGGGGAGCGTAAACCCCCCCCCCCCCATGTGCCAAACTGGGGAATTCCCGGGCCAAGAGGGGACATACTTGCGCTTGTGCAACTGCACATGGGAGAGACCCCACCCTCCGCCTGTAGCTGAACAGGAGCAGAGTCCAAAAAAGAGAGCCCCAGGCTTCCTGCAGCCAGCTCTTATTCCAACCCCCAGCTCCACACCCTTGTGGTTGAGGGTATTTATTGGCTAATCCTACTGACTGAATTAGGTTTACCTGTATGATGTCTTGGCCCCAGGTGGAGACTATGGTAGTTTGAGGTTATACCTGAGCTAGGGTGCTTAGTTTGCACATGCCCAATTCTGGATTTTTCCATAGGTCTCCCATCGATGCCTGATAACCCTGAAACCCCTCTGTTATGACCCTCTGCAGGCACTGGGGAGAACACCCCTTTGTCCCTAACCTGGCAACCTAATAGGATCTCTGATTCAGAACCGACTAGTTGGCAGTGGATAGGAAAGGACAAAATACAACTTCTAAGAGATGGTATAATGTATTAAGCATTGGGCTGCTAATTGCTTGTCAGAAGAACAGTGAGGCAGTATCCTCCTGTAAAGATTTATAGCTTCGAAAATTCTCTAAGGAGCAGTTCTATTGCTTTCTTGAAGGGTCTTAACTCTAGGTGGGGTGGGGGGTGAGGTGGCGCGGCATCTTAATTTTTTTTTTGGCACAAGAACATAAACTTGAATATATTTTTACAGGTGACTGCAACCAGAGTTTTGGCTTAAACATCAAAAGTGGGTTTTTTGTTTATTTTGTTTTTTAATAGTAGCATATTAACATTTCCTGTCTGCTTTGCTTTAATTTTATATTGTTTTCTGCAAAATAGCTTAAAGACAAATTTTGTATTTCATTTTTTATGTTTTAGATGTCACTAAACATACTGACTTTTTTGAAGCTATAAGTAGTGCCTTGAGAGCCCTTTTGCAAACAATGGCTTCTAAGAACATTTCTCAGGTAAGAATTTTAAATACTTATTTTTATTTCCAGAATCACACATCATCTCACACATCCTCTTTGTTTTCACCAGCACATAAAAAAGGAAAAGCTCATCCTTTTCCCTCCATAGGACACCCACAGATTATTTTCTTAACTGTAGGATCTCTCTCTATATAATTTCCTGTTCATTCGTATATACTAATGTTGTCTTTTTAACATTTTAATACAGAATTTTCAAAAGCATTTTCTTGATACTCCAAAGCTCTCTAACTGCATGTTTTTGTAATAGGTGCCTTACTGCATTTAAAAAGTTTTTTCTTTTTTAATCATTTTATTAGGGGCTCATACAACTCTTATCACAATCCATACATACATCAATTGTGTAAAGTGCATTTGTACATTTATTGCCCTCATCATTCTCAAAACATTTCCTCTCCACTTAAGCCCCTGGCTAGGTCCTCATTTTTCCCCTCCCTCCCCAAAAAGTTTTTTCTTAAGGAGATTTCAAACACTCCTAAAAATAGAATAGTCTAATGAACCACCTGTATCAAGCCTCTACAGTATCACCATCCTGCCATTTTTACTTCATTCATTCCCTAACTTTTTTACCTGGTGTATTTTAAAGGAAATACTAGATTCACTATTTCCTGCTGACATATATCTCTGACAGAAAATGTAAACAATTTACATAGCTATAGTACCATTAATTGAAAGCCTAAAACTAACACGTATTTCTTATCATCTGATATGCTGTTGAGTTCAATTTCCCTGCTTGGTTTAAAATGTAATTTTACCCTTGATTTGTTCAAATCAGAATATAAGCAAGGGAGTTGTTTAGTGTTTTGGCATCTTAATTTCTTAAATGTATTACATTTCCCCTCCCTTTCCCATTCATTGAAGAAACTTATTTTGTTGCTCACAATTGCGCATAATCTCTGATTTATCCTGATGATATTTTTTATTAATCATTTTATTGGGGCTCACAATGCATCACAATCCATACATACATCAATTATCAATTGTGTAAAGCACCCTTATACATTTGTTGCCCTCATCATTCTCAAAATTCGCTTTCCGCTTGGGTTCCTGGAATTAGCTCCTCGTTTTCCTTTTTCCCCTCTATCCTGATGATTTTTTGTCTTGTTTGTTTGAAATGAACCTATTTTGCACTAAAGACTCCCAAGTCCATTTCAATTGTATTTTTCCTCTTTTTATAAATTTTCAGCTACTCAGACCAAAATTTAGATTTGAAGAATAAGAAGTCTGGAGGGATTTTTCTGTTTTAAAGCACACTCTGTATATTTACACAGTCCATCTCAAGAAATGAAATCAACAACTGATTAAATCTAAATCCTCCATCAATGTGGTTCTCTTGCTTTCCCCCCTCCCCCTATTGTAACTTCATCTTTCCTCACTATCCTGTCCCTCCCCTCTCCTTGTTCTCATACCATCCCTGGCCTCCTCTTAGTCATCCAAGTCCTATCTTTTGTTGTATAAATCACATTTATTTTTCTTTGTTTTTCCTTCTAATAATGGTGTTATAAAATATATATATCTTTGTAAGATTGACGAAGTTTGCTAAGGATAGTGTTTTCTAGTTTTATCCATGTCTTGCAGTGTTTAAGAGAGTTGTTATTTTTTATAGATGGGTAATATTCCAGTGTAATGATGATGTTACTTAACATTTTTCCCTATCTTCCACATTTCTTATAAACTAAGGTATACGTGTAGAACATAGGTTCCCAAACAATTGGCTTACCTCCCTCTTTTAGGGGAGAAAAAAATTATTCAAGCACATCCCCACTCTTGAATAAACTGTAGGTATCAGCCCCCCTGGACCATTCTAGCACCCTCTAGGGAACTACTGATCTAGAGGCATAATTAGATTCAGGTTCAGTTTTGTTTTGGCAAGAATAATTCATAATTCTATATGTGTTCCCTATTTAATATCTTAAATTATACCATCACTATATAAATAGTGATGGCTAAGATTAACCAGTGAGTTTCCTTGAAGGTTTTCACAATTAGTGGTCATAATTTCATTAGGGATTGCAATTTTGTGTTTCATTTCACGTTTACCAGCTATCCTTCTTCTATCAATAAGAAGTTTCTCATTAATTATACAATTTGTACCCAAAAAGGTAGGAAAAGTGTATTAATCACCTTTTCTCTGATTTTTTTTTAACCCCAGAATATTGAGTTTTGATGCCTTACATATTATAAAAGTGACAAGGTTTTTTTAGTATTATTATGATTTCTTGCTCCTTTTTTGCATATTTGTATTTCATTCTATTAAAGTCATTCCATTTGACGTAAAAATCGTCCTGTCGTTAGACTGTAGAATATCCTTCAAATTGACTCCTGTGTTTCTTTGACATGAATCCAAGAAGACTAGACTTATCTTGCCCCTTTTTTCCCCCTTTCCAAAGGTTTAATTGCTCTTTCTTTTTTTTTTTTTTAAATCATTTTATTAGGGGCTCATACAACTCATCACAATCCATACATACATCAATTGTGTAAAGCGCATTTGTACATTCATTGCCCTCATCATTCTC